CCAAATGGTTTGAGCCGGCAAAAAGGGTTCCGGCTGAATACATCTATCTGTTTGAGTGTCAAAATCCCACGATGTGTGTGCATGGGTTGAGTGTAGCTGCGTGCATGTGTGTGTGTGCTGCATTACGAGAAATTTGCGGTTTTAGAGATTCAAAGTTTTGCTAGAAGACAAATGAATGACAGTCAATATGGCTATAAAGCAGGAACGTGTTAAAGAGATAACATCGGAGAGTGATTGCAATACTATTGGAAAAATATATTTGGAATAATCTAGGAGGTACCTATATTATAACTATAGAAAAGTATTTCTTTGATTGAACGAGATCTAGTGATCAAAAATTCGTTCAATAAATTCTTAATAAAATGTTTTCAATATATTTGTAATCTTTATATGTTCAATAAAATTTATTTATTGATTTATATTGGTTATATTAAATGTGTTATAAAATATACAAAATTAATAATATGTAAATATTACTAGTTTTAATTTATTAATTCATTTATAATATTTATAAAGTTTGATATTTTTTTTTTATTCATGCAATTCGACATAGTTTTCAAATTAAATTTCTCGTCCATCCCAATATTTGTCAGTATAATAGTTTTCTACTATGTATAAATATATATTTTTTTTAGGTCTCAAATGATTTCTACTCATTTAAATATTTTACAAGAATTTAATTTCAAATTAAATAATACATATAATTATTATATGAATATTTGCACTTACTTCTTCAGGTTTTCAGTTAAATCTTAATATATAAAATTTCAATTTCAAATATCGCACAAATGTACACATTATATAAATATATATAATAAGTGCATAAATTTAATAACGGACTTCCACTCACTTCCTCAACTTTTCAGCCTTAATCTTAATACATCACGCTATATCTACCATCGGATATTTGTAACAAGCGCCAGCCTCCTGGTAATCAATGTGCAATCAATTCAAATTCAAAGCGAAGACTCATAAGCCCATCGTCAAGTGCCTGGCCTCATACATCATTTTTCGATGAAATTTTAAATCGTTGCGCAAACAGCTTTGCAGCAGCCCTTCACTGCCTCAGCCCTTCGTTCGTCCTCGTCCTCATCCTCTCCCTTGCCCTCGCCCTCACCCTCGCCCACAAATGCTGAAAATTGGCTTTTGATGTGATGCTGGGGCATAAAGCGGCGCAGTTAACACTTGATTTGTATTTAAAAATTATTGACCAATTCATGGCTGCTGATTAAGTTTGTGTTTGTGCTTGTCAAACGGTCAGGTGCAGATGTGGGTGGGCGTGGCACTGGCAAGGGATGAGGCGGAGTCGGAGGCTGTAAGCGCGTGTTTGTTTCAACATTGGCAACCGATTGATTTTTGCAGCCACAAGGCTATGGCCACGGCCACGGGAAATTGCATAAACGCCACACACAAACACACAGACAGACACGGACTCAGGCCCATATGAAAATCCAATTTTCCAGTGATTGATCATACAAAGAGAGAGAGAGAGAGAGAGAGAGAGAGAAAGAGCAAAAGAGACCGATAGAGAGAGAGAGAGGGAATAAGCTAGGGACAGAGCGTGGCTTGTGGTTGGAGGTAGTTAACCACACACATACACACACCAGCACACACACACGTGGCTATATGTCAAGTTGGTTTGTCTGCTGGACCATACGCAAAAATAATGTAATTAAAGCAATGTTTGCATAATAAAAATTAATATTTGTTGCATTTTGTGCGACGTGCACACTCGCACACCCTCAGTGAAAGGTCCAGTCATTGCATTTATGACTCCTGCTCTGTCCTCCTGCGTCTATCTGCTTAACTCCTTTACATGTTTACCTAGGTGGCGGCAGTGGCAGCGGCGTTGTCTGCCCAGCGCTTTATGCGGGCTGTCAAATTCAGACAGTTTGCACACATGATGTACAATCGCCCTCGTTGCCCTTTCCTAAAATCCCTTGTGGCGTTAAATTCTCCCTGCAAAATCCAGAGATTTGGACTCTATTGCAGCTGCTACTGCTACTACTACTCCTGCTGCTGCTGCTGCTCCTGTTGCTGCTCCTGCTCCTGTTGCTGCTCCTGCTGCTGCTGTCCAGAGCCCGTCTGTTTGTTCAAGTTTCGTTTCAGCAAATTATGTTCGAGCATATGGAGGGGATTTACATTGGTCCGGCAACTGTTAACAAACACTGGACAACACTGACAAACACTCACAACACTGGCGCAACAACACTGCTTCCTGCACACCGGAGGCAGAGTTGTTGTTGTCTGTGTTGATTGTCTGGGCTGTTGCATTCGACGTATGCAAATATTGAAATAAGTCTTAATTGAATACAAATACTCAATTACATTGCGGCACATCTATTTTGTGGGCCCGGCTCAAACAGTTTCTCTTCCATGCAAACACACACGCACAAAAGTAACTCCACTTCTTTGCAATTTTGTCAATTGTGCCACATTTTTGCTTTATAATTTCAATTTTGTTCATGGTCATAAGTGTCGTCGTCGTCGTTGTCGTCATCAGCCTCATCGTCTCCCCCTTTTTTCAATCAGCTAACAGAATGGTTATGGTAATGTATTTTGGCAGGCTGTGCGTGCGTTTGGTAAAAGGGTGAAGGATTAGTCTGTCATATTATGAATGCGGGCTCTATGCTAGACTGTTGTCTGCCGGTGGTCAGACAATTATTTTCAAAAGCAAGGACAGAGGCTACAGACTTTGTTTAATAGACCTACATGTATGCTGGTTAACCTGAACGGAAATGTTGAATTATGCTTTCAAAATGTCATTGGTTTAATATATGAATTAAATATTTATTTGTTTATAATTATAAAATGTATAATATTCTTATGGTATTTTGTTTTATTATTTATAATTTAATTACTTTTTATCTTCATTAAATATAAAATTAATTTGTAATTTTCCCTTTAATTTTTTTGTTTTACTTATCAGATATATTATATATTTTTGAAAGAAATAATAAGAATTCCTTTATTTATTTGAATCAAATTATATTTTAAATGGTATTAAAAAAGTGAGTGTAAAAAAAATATTAATAATTGAAAATATGTATGTCAATGTTTCAAGCACTTAAAAATAAATTTTACAAAAAATCTGATCATGGCCCATGGGGGGATCGAACCCGCGACCTTCGCGTTATTAGCACGACGCTCTAACCAGCTGAGCTAATGGGCCGATGTGAAGAGCTGCAGCTCAGAGCAGTACACGAAATGAGCGTGCAATGAAATATATTTCGATACACACATTTTATTGACCACATTTTATTTATAAATTATAATTATCTCTCTTTCTGCTTTAACGAGATAAGATTATTTTTAATTTATTTTACTGCTCGTTTATATTTAGTGAACATATTTTTGCTTTTTTTTCTGTTTTGTTGTGTGAAATAAATAAAAACGAAAAATTTGATAAGCAAATTTCGTTTCTGTTTCGTTTGCTATATATGACATAGTTTACTCAGTCTTCTTTTGTTTCTAATAATATAAATATATATAGCAAAATGCTATTTATATAGGAATTAATGTCAAAGTGTATCAAATATATGCATATACAAGTACAAATTAAAATAGAATATTTGATTATATAAATAATATACTAGCTAAATTATCTGCTCAGATTTCTTCAATTTAATTTAAGCTCGTGTCATTTGCGACAAACCGTTTTCAGTGTAGTTTCATTAGAGTCATTTGGGAGTACAAGGACTTAATACTTCATCAGCCATTGTTCTGTAGCATGACATGCATCTTGAAGCTATGCTCCGAAGCGAAACACAAACCCAAACCAAGTAACACGCATTTGACACTTCATTAAAAAGCAACATTACCAAAATCAATTAGAGTGTAGTCCCCTAAGCCCAGGACATAACCAGCAAAAGCAAATAGAGATGGATGGACAGAGTTGTAGATGGATATATAGATACAAACAGAGAGAGATAGAGAGAGAGTTGCACAGTATCTTTGTTGTTTTTGGCTAGCAAATAAACAAACAATTGAGCATACACGAGCTGCTACCCATTGTATTTGTTGTTGGCTCACCCAACTCTGACGCTGATTCACAAACTGTTTGAGAAACAGGCGAACAGAGTAGAGCCGAGACTATGTTTGCATTTTGAATTGCCGGCACCGATATTTGCACTGGTAAATCGCCAGACGGCAAACGGTAGACGGTAGACGGCAGACAATAGACGCTGCTGGTTAAAGTCCTAAAAAATTAATTAAAAACGTGTTTATTCATAGTTATTATCTGTGAATGCGTTAACATAAAAACCAAATCACTTTTTTACAAATATGCAATCGGGCGCACTCTCTTTGATAACCGTCGCTAACCAATTTCTGATCTGTTCTGATGGCTGCAGCCCCTCCAAGCGATTTAGCTCCTGGCCCTTGTGCATAATCAGTATCGACGGCACAGTACCCACATTATACGATAATGCCAGATCTGTCAATTCATCGATATCAATGCGCGCCATCTCCATATTGCCTCTCTGCTCATTTATAATACATTTGAGGCGGGGCATGAGAGCTTTACAGGGCGTACACCAACTAAACGACATTCGAATAAAACACTTGATCGATAGCTGGTATAGTTTAGTTTACGGTTATTGCACTGACCTGGCATAAAAATTTACTAAAACTGGTCTCTTTGAACGTCGCACTTTCTTTTCAAAGTCGCTCAAATTGGATACGTCAAATATGGTCCGGCTGGCAATTGTTTTGCGGGAATTCAACAAACTTTTCAGCAGTTTAATTTGTATGGAATTCCTGTTTAACGACATTTTAGCGGTAATTTTGATGATTTTTTATTTTATTTTCGGATTTTTTTCCAAAGTTATGTAGCCAAAAATTATAGGAAATGGGAAGAAAATTTTTCTGTAAATTTGTGAGAATTTTACGGTAGGTCGAACGAATAAAAACTGTTTTATAGAGAAACTTGAATTTATACTTGAGCGTAACACTAATAGAAAAGGTTACTTAGGAATATGCTTAAAGATTTATTTCAAACTACTTAGCTAAGCTCTAGGCCCAAGCCCGATTCCTATAGAAGCACCGATAGATCTGAAAGCCGGTGTCGCACTTATTGGCACCCTTGATCGACGCACAGGTGGCCAGAGCGGCCTTCACTTGATCCGCTCCGGCGGCGGGCGCCAGCTTCTGCAGCACCGCATCTCCGTTGATCTGACCCTCGACTATAAAGCCAGCCCTCTCCAAAAAGCAATTGGCATAGCATTTGACCTTATCGTCGGCATCTTCGAAGTTTCCATTGCGCAGCGCAATCGCCTGCTCCTTGGTGTTGCCCTCCTGCTGAGTGCATTGCATGGCATTTGCGCGAATCGTAGACCTTTGTTCAGCAGTTAACTAAGTTAAGATTAACGGGTTATATTCATATGAAATTCTTATTATAATATACTAAAATAAAATATTTATAAATATGCTACATATATTATAATTAAATATTATATATTATAATACATATATAATGTAACAAATAAATTACTTTTATATATTTTAATTATTTTTTATTTTTTAATATAAAATCATAATCATTTACTCACATCAGCTGCCAAGGCCATAGCTAGAAAGCCCATTAAAACTATTAGCAATTTCATTTTTAATATGAGTTTTTTATATATAGTCTATATATTTGTATATATTTATTATTTATCAATATATTGATAATACTTATATTGTAGAATATTTTCGTTGGCCTTTTGTATTCCTTCTGTCAACTGGTTTTGTTTTGCATTGCGCTTTTATATGATTTTTGCATTGATTTCTCGATTTTAATTTTGCTGTGGAATAAGCTTTTATGCACTTATTGAAAATTAATTTTGTCAACAATATAATTCCAAGAATTATGTTAATTCTTATAGTTTTTTGTTTCGTGATTATTTCCTGAAGATAATGAAACCTAGTTAATATAAAATTTCATTTATTTAAGAGTCTTTTTATTAAATTCAAAGTGGTTAAACCGGGTATAATGTTTCTTATATAACAGATGAAGTATACTCGAGCCTATGTAATATGTACTTCCGTCTGCTCAGCTCTCATCTTTGTCTTTGTGTGCTAAAGTAAAATACTTAATTTATTAAATATAAACCTCTTCTCATTAATGCACTCTGATATTTATCCGAACGCTGAGCTCCACAGTTGCCTTTCAGCTTTATTTATATACATACAATCTTTTATATTTTATTTATATGTTTTCTCGCGCATCTCTCAAATGTATAGACCCGTTTGCTCTATAACTACAAATACCTCTTGGTGTCTTGGCCAGCTTCCAGGCTAATTATGTGACCTACATGCCAAAGCTTCAATGAGATTGCTTTAAATTTGTTTGCCTTGGTCAGCAGCTACTTATGCCTCACATATACACATCCACACACTCACACACAAAATATATACTATATACACATATATATTTGGGTCACATTAGATCGCATAAGGCTGATAACATTAAGCAGGCACTTTCTTCATTTGGCCATGTTTGCTTGCTTGAAATGAATGATGAGCTCTCTGACTATGTGTGTGTGTGTGTGTGTGTGTGTTGTCTAAACATTTTTATGATTCAGGGTTAGAGATAGGATACATTGCTGTCATTCAGCTAGGCTTTACATAATCTACAGCCTTTCAGCAATTAGTTTTTGTTTTTGTGTGCCACAGATGATAAGTAGCCAAGTTTTGCAAAGAGTTTGCTTTCAGAGATGGATGGTTGGAAGGATGCTTGATTGACAGGCGTTTTGATAGAAAGTGGGTTAGGGTTGCCTAGGCAAAATCAAATTTAATGCAAATATCAGCAAAATATAGGCTGGCTTTAAAGACTGTATATGATACAGCCCATTCAGCTATCCTGCATGAATATGAACTACAAAATATTTGCATGCTGATAAGAAATTAGTTTTTTGTTATCATTTTCAAATTGTTACGAAAATAAATGAGTTTTTCCACACACAATCATAAACCATAAAATATAATATATATAACCATGCATATATATATATATGCGCTATGAGAGCTTGTCGCTTGTGGAGGCGGAGGAGGGGCCGGCAAATGTAATTAAAAAACTTTCCAACCGCATCAACATAAATGTATGGCGCATAAAATACTGTGCATTTGACAATTTTTGGTTGACATTTTCTCACTCTGGATGTGTATGTGTGTGTGTGTGTGTGTGTGGGCGTCATAGAAACCGCTAAAAAGTTGGGCGTGACGCATTGTATTTAGCCATTTTGCAGCTAAATTAAATGCTCGAAAAGTTATTATTGTTGTTCATAAATAAATGCCGGCTGGCTGGCTATTCATCGATGAGCGGGCGCTCATTTAATGTGTTAAATGCTTTTACGAGCCAACAAGCTCCTGCCCTGCACTCCTTCTATTTCTGTTGTTTTTGGTAATCGGGTATGCGCGGGTGGGGACCGTACGCAATTTCATTTATTTTAATTGAAGAGAACGGCTTGGCCTTTTGGGCTATTGCTGTGGCCATAAAGTGTGTCCAAAAACCGTTAAAGTGCTCTGAGCAGAGGTAAACGACTGTTAAATACCCTGTAGAGAGCTTTAAATAAATGAAGATTCCTGTGGATGAACTTAAATTGGTGTACATATTTTACGGGTAAAGATGAGCGACTGCTAGATACCCCTATAAAATATATAAATTTTCCATATATCTAAATATTTTGCATTTTGACATGAAGTTTATACCAAATTATTTTAATCTTAATGGACTACTGGATGCCCTGTATGTTCAAGTATCAACAAAGGCATTTATAAGGGAAGTATAATGTAACCTACAAATAAGTTCGATAAGTGTGTTCGGAAGATACCCTGTAAGAAAATTGAACTAACTTAAACAAATATATATAGTATATATCTATATAATACATATATAGTATATATCGATTCTAATGCGTATTTAAATATATGTGAAACCTTTCACTGCACGGAAATATAAAAGACGTTGGTGAAAATCCCATAGAAATACTGAAAATATATATATGAAAATATATACATATGATAAATAATTGTGTCTGTTATAGATAGTACTTATCTAGTACTTATAACGAACACATTCGTATAGATAAGTACTAAGAGCATCATGTTCATTTAAAATACATATATACCATAATTTAATGTTTGATATAATAATAAAATCAGGCTATAAATTTTGATCGGAAGCAGAAAAAAATTTATCTATAACAAGGTTTAGGTTATTGACTGAAAGATGCTCTGTAATGAAAAGTATTTACAGTTAAATATATGTTAATATTTCAAATAAATAAAAAAAAAATTTTTTTCTTCCCTGGATGACATCCTAACTACCCCATTAAATATCATACCTTGGTGTCTAATGAGTTTTATGTTATTTATGATCTCGAAATAGATTTCAGTGTGCTCAGACCTTTGCACAGTCTGGGAATGCCATTTCTTAAATACTCCGATAGCCAAAGAGTATTAAAAAACACATTTCGTTTAATTGCATTTAAATCGCAGGCCCAAACACGAACCCAAAAAACACCTTAATAGGCCATTAAGGTGCGCGTACCGCCCCCAATCTCAAAAAAGGTTTACTTGCAATATGTGCAGGCAATAAACGTTTAAAGTTCGCATTTAACTGCAAATGATAGCCCATAAATTCTCGAAAGGTAAATTTAATCAATTATTTCGGGACTCAATTGCAATATTGATAAAATATAGGCTATCTTTTACTGTCTAGCCATTCCCTTTAAAACCATTATATATATATATACATATACATATCTATAATATACATGTATCTATGTATATTTGTAATATCATATAAATAACTTGTATAGCAACAAAGTGGCGCCAGCTTCTGGCATCTTGTCTGTCCCCTCCGCTTGGAGGAATCCCACTTGCCCGCTAGCTCCATAATTTTCCATTAGCTTTATTATATACTCATTTGCGCAAATGTCTTATATCATTGTTATTAGTAAATCTTATGCCTATGATTATTGCCTTTCCAAGTCTGTGTGCGTGTGTCAGTGTGCTCTTGTGTGTATCTTCGATAAGCTCCCTCAAAAACAGCTCCATCAGACACATTTCCTTTGGGGATATGGCGCAAGGTTGTTGAACTCTGCCTTACGGTTTTTGGGGTCAGTTGGCAAAATGTGTTGATAGTGCAGCAAGCAAAATAAAATAGCCGCGAAATGGCATTACGAATGCCTACTTAGGGGTTGGCTGTGCCCTAAATGAAATTTCGTCTTATTTTATCTGATAATTTTGATATATATTTCGACGAATATATCATTAATAAAGTTCTTTATTGTATTATAAGATATTGACATAAATGGGGTATTTGTTTTTAGCGGTTTTTCAAAGAAATGTTATTATATTAAAAGGGGGTTGGTGGTTTGAAATATTAAAGGAGCTCTTTTCAAGGATAAATAAATATAAGAAATTTATGAAAATTGAATACAAAAATTTTTTTTTATTTTATTTTATTAGTATTATGTATTTATTTATTGGGTATCTCAATATAATGAATTACAATTAGAATTAGAAATGATTAAGTTCTCTTAACTTCCCGCATCGTTAATACTACAGCTGCGAAAAATAAAATAGCACCACTTGCAAACGCAAAGTTTAAGAAGTTCTCCTAGGTGCATTTATCAATGTATTGATCTAATTTTTTCTTGTATATAAGCAGAAAACAATTAATAATCGCAACAAGCAAGAATTATCCCAAAAATATTAATCGTTTTTATATAATTCAAAAAATTCTCAAAAAAGTCGTAAAAATGCCGAAAAAAATAATAGCACCACTAACCCTTTTCGAGTGAAAATCTATATTTTTCGCAGATTTGAATATCTTCAAAAGCACTAATTGATGAGATTTGTTGGTTATATATCTATTTTGATTAAAATATTTTCAGAATTTGTGAAAATTTTCAAAAAAATGGGTCGTGAAGAGCATTACACCACCGAACAACCCAAACTCATCAAAAAGTTGATTTCGGCTCAAAATTTTCACAGGAAAGTTGGTCATTTGATGGGTTGTTCAAATGAAATGATCCACAATGCATTAATCCATAAAAAAATTAATGAAAAGCGCGGATTGCGTTGAGTTCTGACCCAAAATCATGTCACTCGTCTCATTTACGAGAGTAAAAGGATCCTTTTAAGCCGGCTACTCAACTGAAAAGGGACCTAAACATATCAGCAATGGACCAAACAGTACGGAAATATTTAAGACATCTCGATTTGAACACTTTCCGTTCAAGAAAAGAACCATATTTGAATATAAAACACATTTCCAAACGGATGGCGTTTGCAAAAAAGTAGTCTCATACTAATACACTTGATCCGCTATGCTTAAGGGTTTTTTTTGTATATCTAGGACCGAATTCTAAGTTCTGTGGATGTCTCACGTAGGACCGCGATCCTTTTCCACTAAAAATTAGCATCTTACTTTCATTATTCAAAAGTATGTTTTTTCATTCCTTCGTAGACCAATTTTTGTGTTTCCCTTGCAAACGCCATCCGTTTGGAAATGTGTTTTATATTCAAATATGGTTCTTTTCTTGAACGGAAAGTGTTCAAATCGAGATGTCTTAAATATTTCCGTACTGTTTGGTCCATTGCTGATATGTTTAGGTCCCTTTTCAGTTGAGTAGCCGGCTTAAAAGGATCCTTTTACTCTCG